ACTTCCTTCTGGTGTGGCTGTAATTGCGTTCCCTTCTGTTCCTGTACTTCCTTGCACCACTTCAGCTGCTTGCGGTTCACCATTCCCTGCAGCAACACCTCCAATACCGGAGTGACTTCCAGTCCCACTTTCATTAGAGTGCCCTTCTGCATCTTTACTTTCCTTTGGAGGCGATGGTGGTAATTTGGCTTTTGCCTCCAGATATTTTAACAACTCCGAACAATTTTTTCCGTTAATAACAGCATTAGGATGATCCTTACAGTACTTGTCGTAAGTAGCTTGCGTAATTGGTTCGAAGGTAACAACAAGATATTCACCATTACTATTATTAGCAGTCGTACCTTCAGTTGATGGTTGCTTGACACCTGTATTCTCGTTAGTGGTGGTGCTGTCAGCTGTGTTGCCTGATGATCCCTGCTCTCCTGGTGATGCTGCAGTAGAACCTTGAGATTGGTTTTGTTCTGTAGTCGCATCAGTATCTGTTTCTTGGGCAGGTCCTGCAGCCTCAGGGGGTCTGGCAGCCTCTCCTTGTGCAGGTCTAGTTTCAGAAGTAGAGACCGTATTATCATCTTTACCCGGAGGGTTTTTACGTGTAAGGTCCTCCACAATCTCTTTAACACCATCATCAGGAATACTGGCAAAAATATCATCAAAAACCGCCGTCACCGCCTTTGGCTGTCCAGCATTAACAGTAGTATCAGCAGCCGTCATGGTATACCCGCAGGCGTAGCACAGCACAACGGCCAACACACACATCACACGGTGCATCATCATCATGAGGGAGACAATAGTTTGTTTCACGTAAAATCACTGATCTAGAAAGAAAGACAACCAAAAAAAAAAAGAAAATAAATAAATGAAGTATCAAAAATGTTAGGACACACAAATCGATTACCACTACGGAAAATCACATCGTGAAAGTAAGACCTACAAGTTAAAGAATGCAATACAGCGCAATAACCTCAGTAATAGTAAAAACAAAAACAAAAAGACCCACACTCAGAAATCTTTAAAAAAAGGCTGAACCACCCAGCACAATCATCAAGCAAAGAAACAGATATTAACCATTAGCCCAATTTACCCAGTAAACACAAGAAATATACACCGACTATGGGTGTAAGTCTATACGTATATATACGCAATTATAAATATAAATTCATCTGTTATTATTATTTCCTTTTCTTTTCAGTGCAAAAAACAGTTCATCATCATTATCACAGTGCAAGTCCAGGTGCACACACAGAGAGTCTCCAAGAACACACACACACACACAACGGAGTAGCAATAATAATTATAATAGGATAAACACACAGATAGCAAACACACACATAAAACACATGAACATTAAGAAACAAAAAAAAGAAAAATATCCCAACAGGTGGAAGATGAGTTAGACTGTAGGGATACATACAAAGAAGAAAAGAAAACAAAGGATGACCCGAGTCACCACCACAATCAGCACACAAGAATACAGGCCAGTGTAACCACAATCAGTAGTGGTACACGCACCCACACAGAACTGCTGATACTGCTGCTGCTGTCTGCATCACCCTTCTTATTGTTTGTGAGTTCAGGAGGAAGTGTTGTTGTTGTTGTTGTGGTGGTGGTAGTGGTATCTGTATTTCCATTAGCACCTTCTTGGGTACTTGTTGATTCACCCTCTGCGGGGTTTGCAACATTAGTTCCATTATCAGACTGATTGTTATGGGTATGATCTGTAGATGGATTGTTGGTTGAAGGGTTATCTGTATTATGGGATGCGGGAGCAGAAGGTGCTTCTTCTGTTGTGTGCGTGGTCTGTGCAGTTTGTGTCTC